CCGAACCAATTTGCAAAAACGAGATCAGATCACTTCTATATAACATGAGGCAAAGTGGATAAAAATTGAGTGCTGTTGTTAGGGCACTAATTAAAATTTGATTATGATCACATTTTCGTATTTAGTAGAAGTTTGTGCATACGAGTTTCAATCAACTTTGGTTGCATAAAGTAATACAGGACTGACAGTTGAATTCTCTCACAATGTTGGAAATAGACATGTTTTCATTGAATTTCACTTAACCTTGCTTCCCAAAAGGTATTCTCATCCAGTGTGGTCTGAGGTTTCATTTTCGTCTCAGTCTATTCAGAATGGGTCTTATCCTGCCTGGTTTCGACCAAGAAGAGGTCGAATACTTTTGTCAAGCAAGGATAAAGGAAATTCAATGAAAACATGCAGCATACTCATATCGTTTGGAAAAATGTTAATACCATTCCTCAATCAACTTATGCGACCTAGAGTTACTTGAATTTATTTTTTTAAACATACTTCCTATGTATATTACTTCAATAGGTCCGCCCTGTACGTGGTCTACGATCATGCGCATAGTCAAATAGATGTTGAAGGAATTCTCTTACCATATGTCATACGCTTTCACCGAATCATTCTTCTAACCTCTTGTGATTAGTTGGGAACAGCCCTATCCTGAATTATTTAAGTCACAAAAATAGGCCTTAATAACCAGTCGAAACTCTCAATTTTTTGGAAGAATTCAGCTAATGCCTTAACTCTGGTGCTTCCAAATCATGCTTCCTCAATATGCATGCATACTCTTCACTAAACCATTCAACTTTTTTTCTTTTATTTCATAATGGACTTAGGATTATGAACTAGCTTCTCCAGCCTCTCCAGCACTTTGTCTTGAAATGTGCACGCGAACGAAGTAAGTTGAATGTTTTTTTCAGCCCGTATAAAAATCAAATGGAAGTAAGCAATGACAAAGAACTGTTCATTACACACGTAACACGAAGCATAGATAGACCAGATAAAAAAATTTTTCCATCTGTCCCTAAAACATGAATTATTTCTATCAGAACGCATGAACTCGAGGAAGTTAAGAGAAAAAATGAGGATAGTTACATTATTGGTGCGAATTTCTGGCAGAACCTTGACGCGATTATAGTATTTATGCTGGTGAAAGCAAACTCTAAAAGGGCATACGCGTGGAGAAAGAAGACGATAGAAATTGCTGAAAGCCAATATTTACCTATCGCCCAACTAAACTAGGCCACATAAACTATCTGCCAGCCAATATAATAACGAATAAACAAATTCATTCTATTTTTGGCAGTATCCTTCATCAGTTTCGGCTGTAATGCTGCTCACCATGTGGTAATGTGCGAGAGGCTGTTGGACATTCATACAATCATATAATAAGAGAGGGTTGGCGTCGTATGGACAACTCCTTTTGGCAATGTGAGTGCACCATTCGTCATTTGGTGGTTAGTATGTGTGTCTAGCATGAAATGAAAGAAACACTCACCGTTTCCATGTTATTTCACTATTTTATTCCGAAAGTGGATCAAAAAAGATGTTGGGTGTATGCTCGGCTTTGCGCTTGGGTGTCATCGTCTCAAATAATGGGACCTAAACACAGGACAAGAGGATTCAGAGATAAACCAATCACTTCCTAAACAAAACTGTCCTCACGAAAATGCTTTCCAATCATGGCAAGCTAGAC